CAAACCCACCAGCTGCTCCTCGGAAACCCTACACAGTGTCCCTCTGAATCAGAAAATACTCAACAGCGCTTAACAACAACAACACGGACTATCTGAAGAATAAACAAATCTGTCCTGGAAGAAGTACAGCCAGAATGCTCCTTAGAAGTGAAAATGGCCAGACTTCATCTGTTTTACTGATCATTATCAGGAGGGACCACATTTATTAAGAAGGACATCATGCTTAGTAAACTGAAGGGTCAGCTAAAAAGAGGAAGACCCTCAATGAGATGAACTGATACATAGCAATCATTGTGAGACTCGCTCAGGACCTGGCAGTGATTTCTTATGTTGTGCATAGAGTCACTCTGAATTGGAATGAACTCTAAATCACCTAACAACAACAGCAACATCCCACCCTAATTCTGCCTCATTAATATAATAAATATAGCCGAATCCTCTTTAGCCTAATCCTGGCTCATTAACCACAAACAGAGGTTAGAATCTACAACACATCACAAAATGGAGGAAAATCACACAACACTGAAAATCATGGCCTCCCCAAGTTGACACATATTTTGGAGAACCACAATTCAACCCATGACATTCTGACCTTTGGCCTCAAAAAACTCAAGACCTTGCCACATGTAAAACACTTTCATCCATTCACCAGGGCTGATAAAACTTTTATACAGTAACACAATGTAATCAGAAGTAGCTCTTAAAAAAAATATTCCATGATTAAGAAAAAAATCTGGAGGTAATTTTGCATGACATTATTAGCTTAGAGCACTCCAAAATTATTTGTTTCACTCTTCCAAACTAAGGGGACAATTTACATAAACATGGAGTGTTTTGAAATTATTGCATCTTTTCAGATTTCATTGTGTGTGTGAGAGAGCAAGAGAGAACGAAAATATGGAAGACAACTATTTCCCTTCAGATATATTGTTTTCCAGATGTCTAAAAAGGAATTTCTGGGAGAATAGAGAATTTTTTTAATTAAAAAAAATAGTTAAAGGAATATTGCCTTTTTTCTTTCCAAAGAGCAAATCATTTTCAGTTTACCATATCATTCTCTCCAAGGTATAATTGTCACCACACACATCAATGATAATGTGTGCAGAAGGATGTACCTATAAACTAGCAAGGGCCTTGTGAATAGAAAATGGTGGTAGAGAGAAGAAATGTGGAGACATACCTATTCTTCAAGCAAACTTATAAGCTTCAAAAGTAAAACTTAAACATCTACATTATTATATACAGCATTGTGAGAGGATCATAATAAATAACATGGTGTTGCTACCTTCAAAACTCATGAGAAATTTTTGTTCACTCTACTTCCCTTCTACAAGCTCCTTAGGAACACCAGAAGTAATTCTCTGGCAGAAGACCCAAGTTTAAAGTGAAACTTGTCTTACATTCAATCCTCTATATTCTTGAGCCATATGATTTTGAAAGGGCAGTTGGCCATATTTTTAACTCCCCAGAAATATGTCTTGAGAAGAATTTGTGAATAGTTCTAGGAAGTACAGGACTTATAAGGACACTAAGAAATACTCCTGGTATTAGATATTTAGAACTGTAACAAAACAAAATAAATATCTATTCCACCCCCCCAAATCATGTACAGATGATATAACCCCAATTTCCCAAGAACTGGTTTTCCCAATCTCTAGGCTTACAGATTTATATATCCCAGAGAAATCAGGTGTGAAATTAGAGGAAAAATTAAAGGATTTCAGTGATTCTCTCGAGCCGATACTGGCAAAGAAATTTACGTTCAAAGGAAAAGAGATGTATATGAAGACATACAGAACATCTCTTCATCTACTTGAGGGAGAAAGGGACCTGGAAAGAAGACAGGAGAAAAAGAAGAGAAGAGGAAAGATGGACAAAAGGAGCAGAAAAAACAGAGGGGTCCAAAGAATTGAAGAAAACACATAAGACCATCAAAGAAAAGTGGGTCAATGACTCTCTTGCCCCCACTGGGCTCTTGGACCATACAGATGTCATCAGCTGAGCCAGTGACCAAGTCATGGAGCCGTACTTCTGAACGTTCATTGACACATCATTTTCTCCCATAAAATGTCACCAGCATAACTTATACCTTGATCTTCCTGTGTTTCTCTTCTCTACTGGTTCTTTTCTTTCTTATACATTCAGCATCAAGTGTTGGACTTGAATTATTATTGGGTTTTTTGAAGGAAATATCACAACAATTTCTGGGATTCAAGGAACAAAGAAGCATCGTAAGGCAGGGCAATCATTTAATTTGAAGAGAAGAATCGTTGATATTTCACACCATGTTTTGGGTAGTATTGTAAGGATATGAAATCAGTGATGAAATATGTATATTTCTCTTGGGTTTAGAAAAAAAAAAGAGTTAGAAAAAAAAGGGGATACTGAGCTTCAGGGAAAACATAGTTACTGGACAGTGACCATACAGGGGTGAGGGATGTTGTGTTGAGGGAATGACGAAGACACCAACTGTAATGACGTAAGGTGGTTATTGGCCCTGATAGGTAGGTTTGATAGTCTTAGTAAGATGATGGAAATCAGTAAGCTGAACAATCAGTTAAGCTCATTTGGAAAGTAAATTATCCTACATTAATTTAATGTTGCTTTTAAAGTCAATTTTGTTCATCTGCAGTTGCTTTTTAAGTACAGTAATACTTTTTGTTATACATGTGCTTCTGAAGAACTGCTTGAAAATTGTAAACTAAATTTAATTTACAATTTACCAAAGATCACATTATTTTAGGATTCTTCTAGCATACCCTGTTGTAAAATAAGAATTTCAACTATACTGTGTATCATTTTGTGAATGTTGGTGGTGTGTTAAGTGTCATGGAGTCAGTTCCAACTGACAGCAACCCTGTGTAGGGCTTCCGAGGAGAGGCTGGTGATTTTGAACCACCAACCCTGTGGTTCCAACCAACCTTGTGGTCCAGTGCTGTATCCCACAGCACCACACAAGGAGTCCTCATTCATAAAATTGTGTGTGTGTGTGTGTGTGTGTGCATCTGCATGTTGTTGGTAAGTGCCACTAAGTCAGTTTCAACTCATAGCAACTCTGTATAGGATTTCTGAGGAGCAACTGGTAGGTAGGAGTGGACAACCAGGACTCCATATATCTACATATGTATACATATATATCATACACACATATAGTGCACTTGGAGCTTTTTGAAACATTGTAGTAAAGCCTCACAATTTAAAGCCTATAAATGAAACACCAGAGTCTTTGTGTGGCTCTATAGGATAAGCACTGTACTGCTAACCAAATTGTTGGAGGTTCAAACCCACCAGTTGCTCCTTAGAAACCATATACAGGGTCCGCTGTATGACGGAACCTATTCAAATGCACGTAACATCAATTAAACACTTGGTATTCAAAGTTGGGCTGTTTGTTTTTGCATTCTCTATAGGAAAATAATTTTGAGTAGAACAGAGTTACAAGGCAAATTCTTAATTCACATACAGTGAAATAGGTTCTTTAAGCATGTTACCAGTGCAATTGTAATACAAAAAATGAATACCTTATTTTCCAATGAAACATGCCATTATAGTAGATCGTGGGAATTTCACCTGGCTGTGAGATAAAGCACTGGAACCACAAGGTTGGTTTGATCCACAAGGTTAGCAGTTCAAACCCACTAGCCGCTCCTTGGAATTACACAGGGTCTCAGTGAGTGGGGATTGACTCAATGGCACTCAACAACAACAACAGTTTAATTGGAGTCCTTGTATGGCACTGTAGGATAAGCAGTGAATTGTTAACTGCTAGATTGGCTGTTCAAATCCACCAACCACTCCTCAGAAACTCTACCCAAGGTCTTTGTAAGTCGGAACTGACCCAACGTCCACAACAACAGCACCGTTTAATTATTAATTCTATTTGTAATTGTACTCTAATAAAACTAGTTAATACTTTAAAAACTATCATATGAATTACTCAATAAAATGAGCATTCCTCATTAGTGTTGTCAAGTGCCGTGGAATCGAATCCGACTCATAGCAACCCTGTGTAGGGTTTCCAAGGCTTGAAATCTTCAAAGGGTCTAAAAGCCTTATCTTTCTCCTGTGGAGACACTGGCGGGGTTGGATCATGGACTTTTCGGTTCACAGTCCAGTGCGCTGAGTCACTGTGCTCCTAAGCATTCCTCGTGTGTTTTTGTTAAGTGCCTTCCAGTCAGTTCCAACTCAGAGCAACCATTCCTCATAATGAATCTAATAAGAATTTTCTCTATCAATGGGACTCTATTCACTAGCTATGTATTATAAAGTTACTAACCAAGAACACATTTTTAAGGAAATATCACCATATCAGGTATATTTTATAAGGCTCATGGGTTTATTTATCTGTTTCTCTGAAAATGTTCTTTGCAACGTCATATCCAAGGTCAGGTGACTTGTGCTTGGAATGGTAAACCACTTCTAATATTGCAGCAGTCTCTAGCTAGTTAATTTTCAGTGACCTGCTAACCACAAGGTCAATGGTTCAAACCCACCAGCTGCTCCTCAGAAACCTTATACAGGGTCACTGAGTCAGAATCAACTTAACTGCACTTAACAAACAACAGTCAACACAGGAAGTTGGAGAATTTAGGGAATGGCTGGTAAAGGGAAACCTCTTGAGTGAGATCTAAAGGCTGGCAGGACTTAATGAGCTATTGAACTGTTTACAAGCTAAGCTGTTATGAATGAGAGTGAATTTTCAGTATGCTTAGGCATGGACAATATAAATGTTTGTTTCAAAAGCAAAAGTGTGTACTTAAAAAGTCAAATCTGGAATCATGGTAGTTGGCTTTCTATATTGTGATTGTAGTTCTCAGGCTAGGTTTCTGCTCCTAGTTGAACTAGGTAGAAATCAGAAAACATCTTGAACATTTCCAAATAATAAGAGATTTGTCCAAATGGAGCTTGGATCTAGGCTTGGGCATTTCTGTTGCCAGTTTCTGTTCTTGAATGCCTTTCCGTGTTTACGCTCTTCTTGGCTTTCCCATCTTATTAACTAGCTCTCCTCCCAAGGACAGTGAAGTAGAGCAGAGCAAACTGCTGGCTAGGGCTGCTCCAGCTTTTCTGAAGGGCAAAGGGTAAGTTACAGAGTGTGTGCCAGAACCTGAAATTAACGAAACTAAGCTTGGAAATTTATTTTGTCTAAAGAGCTTTGTGTTTGTAAGCAATTCTATTAAAACCCAATTAACAGCACCAAAAAGTTATTTCCAGTAGACACATCTGTGTTTGTTACCCACTTTCCCTTATTTCCTGTTGTTCTTTATTTTATTTTTTTTAATGACTAAGCTGCACTTTTGATTTTCCAAAGGACACTTAATCTTTGCTTGCAACCCGCTGTGTTTACTGGTCAGCTGAATGACTTGCCCTTAGTGGTTTGAAGAATGCAAATCTTTTTTCTTGAAAGTTACTTATCCTAAGTGGAAGCCTTTATTTTTTAAGTTGGTGAGATGAAACTGTTTCGTTGCTTGGATTTTGCTTGTTTTTCATAGAACGTGGTGTGACGTTCTATTGCTCTTCTGTTACTTGCTTGATTTTTTTAATGCCTTTTCTACCACAAGCTCCCTCCTACTTACTCTGCCAATTTCTGTCTGCCTCTCCTAACAACATCCTTTCTTTCCTCCTGCCCCATTTCAGGATTCAATACAGCCTCAATGTGGCAGACAGGCTAGCTGATGAACATGTTCTCATCGGGTTGTATGTCAACATGCTCCGGAACAACCCATCATGGTTAGTGCAGGTTTGGCCCACTTGACTGTCATTAGAGAGGGGATCAGTCAGATCTGGTGACAAGTAATCTCAGCAAGAGGCAAAGCCAATGGATGCCACAAGTGTCGTTAAGATAGTCTTTCACTGATTCAATTAAGAAGTCTTTATGTCATGCAACTTTGAATACTTGGAGTTAATGTACCATGAATTCATATCCTTGTTTATATCTTAGCTAAAGGAAGAAGTTGCGTAAATGGTTGCCCTGCGAAATTCTAGCATTCAGGTGGATGCCAGACTCTAGGTCCCGCCAGACAGTTTTATGTGATATGTGTCATGTGAAATCACCTCTTCGATTGTTTCCAAAGGTTCTTCTTATTCCTGCTTCAGATGCCTTAGAACAATTTTCCGAGAGTAGTACATAAGATGATATACTGGTGAACATTTATATGTATAAAATGAATAATGTTTCCAAGGACATGGGTGTCTCTACTAATTTGGAAAACAGTGCTTTGTTTCAATTAAGAAAGAAGTGAATAAGAGGAAAAGTGATGTGATAGGATAATAAAATGGCAGTCGTTTCTGTAATAATGATAACAGTGGGAAAATTTGTCTTTCAACTCTTCTGTTACTTACAAATGTTCCCGAGTAGCCATCAAAATAAAGTTTAGAGTATGCAAAGCTTACTTTTAGGTATGTGAAATCTAGGAATCCAGCTAGCCCTTTGTGTTTAGATAAAGGCATTCATAAGGTTTTTTTCTTCCTTTTTTGTGGTGACATAGGAGATTCATCCCATTGGTTAAAGTTAAGTTGCTTTTAAAACAAATGTGCATTTTCTGTTTGAATGCAAATAAATGGAAAGGTCATGTACAAGGGTGCTTCCAAAAGTTCGTAGAAAAATGAAATAAAAAAATAATGGAACTTTTCCACAAACTCTCTAAAACCCCCTTAAATGTATCATATGTATGCTGCATCCTAGTGTAGACAACTCTTTTACAAACATGTTTAGCAAACATCAGTTCCTTAGAAGTATTTCAATTTTGCCCAACACTAGTTTTCTCTGAACTACAAACACATGGATTTTCATAAGTTGTAACTCTTAAGTGAGCCCGTGGGTTAAATTTTTTTAAACTGATGTATAGCTTCAGCTGTACCCCTTTCCTCTATTGTTTCACAAAAACTAATTAACCAGTTACTACCCAATCAATGCCAACTCATGGAAACCCCAAGAGTATCAGAGAAGAACTGTGCTCCATAGGATTTTCAGGGGCTAATTTTTTGGAAATAGACCTCCATTCCTTTCTTCCAAGGTTCCTCTGGGTGGACTGAACCAACTGTTAGGCAGCAGCCAAGTGCGTTTGCACTCTCAGCCACTCCATTTCACAAAAGCCCCAACAAATTTCTTAATCACATAGTAGCCAATCCTCAGTGTCCAGGAGTCCTGGTGTGGTGCTGTGGGATAAAACACTGGACCGACCACAAGGTTGGTTTGAACCACAAGGTCGACAGTTCAAACTCACCAGCCACTCCTTGGAAACCATATACAGGATCATTATGAGTCAGACTCAACTTGATGGCACTTAAGAACAATAACAACTCAGTGCTCACCACTTGGTTTCATCAGATATCTCTTTGTTTCTACAACTCTTTCCTCCTTGATTATTTCCAAAGGTTCTTCCTATTCCTGATTCTGATGCCTTAGAGGTATTTTACAAGAGAGTGCATAAAATGATACACTGATGAACATTTTTTGTTTTAATAGTTATATATATGTTATGAATCCTGGTGGCACTGTAGGATAAGCACTGGACTGCTAACTACAAGTTCACCAGTTCAAACCCACCAGCTGCTCCAAAGGAGACTGCGGAGACTGTCTGCTCCCATGAAGATTTGCTGTTTCAGAAACCCTACATAGGGTTGCTATGAATTAGAATGAACTCAATGGCAGTGGGCTTGGATTTCAGTGTATCTTTTAATTTTTCATCTAAAAGATATATATAAGTAGCATCACACTGATGGTTGTTGATGGTGTGCTGTGGAGTCAGTTCTGACTCATAACGACCCTGCATAGAGTTTCCGAGGCTGTAAATCTTTACGGGAGCAGAAAGCCTCATCTTTCTCCCACAGAACCACTGGTAGCTTCAAACTGCTGACCTTGAGGTAAGCAGCCTGACATGTACCCACTACACTACCTACTATAATCTTTAAAGACATAAAAACGCACTGCACAGCTGACATAAACCCAACTCTTTGTTCCAATTTTCTGAGCTTCTAAATCAGAAAGTATCTCCACTTTCCCATAACTCAGACTTTCAAACTACAATAAGAAAGAGCAATACCTTTCATCTTATTTCTAATGAGTTTGGTACCCAAATAGGATCTATGGCAGGTGAAAGAGTAGAACTAAATACTGAATCACGAAGAATTGTTGAGCAATCTTCAGAGAAGAATAGGATTCGTATAGATTCAACCATGTCTGAAGGCAATGATGTAATCTCACTCCATCGCCTCCACACTCCCCCATTTGAAACACACTCCAGTTATTTCTACCAGTCTGCTTTGACCTTTCCTTAATTAAAGTTGTAACAAAAAAATCATCAAAGAGAAAAGCTCAGAGTTTGTCATTACCAGCGCCTCTTCCCTACTACATGTGGTTTATCATAGAAGCTTGATGGTCACTTTAGACCATAAAACTATTTCAGCCACACATGCACTTCTATTGATGAAAGCTGGATGTGATCTGTATTTTAAAAACAAAGCAGAAATTAAGACTGTTGAAGGAAGCTGACTGTGTTTTAATAACTGCCCTCCATATATCTCATAGCTTTTCTCTGTCCTGAAAAAATTCCAACTTCTCTCCAAATTCTCATGCTTCCTTCTCTATATGCTTGATTACATCCTAACAATTTCTAAAGAGTCTCAGGACAGCAGACATAACTTACATAGTGCTCTTTCTCCTCCATCATCATCTTTACTGCTGTATTGCGTGGTTTAATTATGGTGCGATGCATAAAGATGGTCAAAGTCATCATAACTATCGTTTTAAAAATACTTGCCACATGTTAAGCACCATGTAAAGAGCTTTAGGTAGCAAATGCTTTCTTGTGCTTAGAGCAAGCTCCTGAATAAGTGCTGCCACCCCCGTTTTCTATCGGGGATGATTGTTGTTGTTAAGTACCTTCAAGTATAGAGTTTCCAAGAAGCAGCTAGTGAGTTTGAACTTCTGGCCTTGAAGTTCAAGTTGACATTACCATCCTATGCTTATCCTATGCTATGTTGCCACACCAAGACTAAGGTAGAGAAAGCAAGGGACTCTAACAGGAAAGCACAGCTACTAAACAGTGGAGCCAGAGGAATTCTAACTATTAGCCATCTGATCCCAAGTCCCTTGCCACTGTTGAATTAAAATTCAATGTAACTTAAGCATAAGATTTACTCAGAGCAGTTATGATGTGCACATCTAGGGAGACCATTTAGATTCTAGAAAAAAAAACAAATGACTCAAAGAAATTAGGTACAATCAACCTATAAAGAGCAGAGGAAGAGAACTCTAGCAGCCCAACCATTGGTTCATCTTGGCTTAAATGACTGAGCCCTGCCCTCCCCCTTCCACTGAGATGAGTGGTCTTCAGGTCGCAATCCCACCTGTGAACAAGAAAAAAAGGATGTACCATTTTCCGTGAAAATAAAGCTGTGTCAGATTCATTTTAGTCAGAGAGTTCTTTAAAGTGAATATTTGGTTTCATGGATAAGAAAACCCCCAAATCAAAGCAAGCTATATGCCATAAGTTTTTCTTTTTGACACCTTGTGTGACACTGTAGTTGTATGCAAGGTCGGCAGTTCAAACTCTCCAGGTGTTCCTCGGAAACCCTATACAAGGTCGTTATGAATTGGAACTGACTCAATGGCACTTAACAACAGCAACATGCTACGTCAACGCTTATGAAGCCATACAACCATGTGACCTCCCAGACAGTATTTCTGTATTGCTTCTCCACACTGTGTCCTCTTCATGTTTACTTACTGCAGTTGAATATCCTAAGGAGCTCTGGTAGCATAGTGGTTACAAGTCGGGCTGCCAACCTCAAGGTCAGCAATTCAAAACTACCAGCGGTTCCGGGAGAGAAAGATGAGGTATTCTGCTCCGGTAAAGATTTACCACCTCGGAAACCTGTGATGGGTCACTATGAGTTAGAATGACTCCACAGTACTTAACAACAACAACAACAAGGAGCCCTGGTAGCATAGTGGATATTGACCTGGGTCCTGGTGTGATGCTGTGGGTTAAAGCGTCACACTGCAAAGTCGTTTGAGCTGCAAAGTGGTTCAAGCTCACCAGCTTCTCCTTGGAAACCCTATACAGGGTTGCTATGGGTCGGAATCGACTCGATGGCACTTAACAACAGCAACTAACCACAAGGCCAGTAGTTTGGATCTATCAGTCGCTCCAAACAGATGAAATTTTCTGCTCCTGTGAAAATTTACAGCCTCAGACATCCTCTACAGGGTCCCTGGCAACTCAGTGACACACAACTATAAAATTTTTTAAAAAAAGAAAGAACAGTTGTCATGAGGCCATTTCCAGCTCCTTCCAACCCCATGGGTTTCAGAATAGAACTGCATTCCGTAGGCTCTTCCATGGTTGTGACCTTTTGGAAGTAGATCACCAGTACTTTCTTCCAACGCACCAAGCTTTCAGGTATCAGTTGAGTTTTATACCACCTAGGGACTCTTCAATTTCATTCTACTTCTAATAAACCTGGAAGCACATTCTAGTAACAGCAATGGTGGTTGTAATAAGTTACCTTTCATGTGTTTAGGTCCACATGTAACTTTTCATTCAAACTGTTGTTGTTAAGTGTGCTGTCGAGTCAGTTCCGTGTTTGTCGTGTTGGTTCCAGTTCCTTGTTCAGGTTTCTGAGGAGCAGCTGGTAGATTTGAACTACTGACCTGCAGTTAGCAGTTCAGTGCTTCTCCTACTGTGCCACACTTATTGTTAAAATCATAAGCTTCAAAGGGACAA